TGCGAGCATAGGCGGCAACCTGGGCGTCGGTGAGCGGTGGCGCCGCAGGCTTCTGAGGACTGCGCGGGGGCCCCTGCACCCAAGCACCACGGGGCTTCGGGGCAGCCTGCCGCGGTGCCGACAGCCCAGGGAGACGTCCTGGTTGCCAGCCACACTTGTAACAACTCGAACGGGATGCATAGTTGTGCTGAAAGCCACACCTCTTGTTGCCGCACGCCCAGCGAGAGAAATCTCCCATGGAGGGGGCGGATGTACAGTGAGATGGCAAGCTGTGAGGGCTGAAACCTCAGTACACGAAGTAAGCAGTGAGGGCCGCAAACCCCTCGCACCAAACCCAAGCCTCGGAGCCTCCTGCTACGGACTTGAGCCAAAATGGCTACGGACCCCTCCCCCTCCTCCTCCTCCTCCTCCTCCTCCTCCTCCTCCTCCTCCTCGTCCCTCCTCGTCCCCTTCCTCCAGGCGCGGGGAGGCAGGGAGGGCCTGCCGAGCGAGTGCCCCATGGCGCCCTCCGCCTCCTCCCTCCCCAGACCTCCTGGCGTCGTGAAAAAATCACGAAGGGAGGTTTTCGCTATTTTCGGCCTCCGGGGGCCCTCGCCGGGCCTCGGGAGCGTCAAAACACGACTCGGGACGAAGAACCGGTCCCGGGGAAGGGGTCCAGACCTCTGGGGGTCGAGTTACGGACAGCCTAGAATCGCAATGAAGAACAAATCGTTTCTTCATGTCGCGCACCTGGGAAAGAAAACTGCCAGGAGGGTGTCGAGGGCGGTTTGTCGGAAAACAACGGAACAGATGTTCGGCCCCGAGGCGCCCCCCGGGGCCCGACACGTGAAAAACCCTCGTTGGTTCGGCATAAGTACTTTTTCTTTGGCGCTGAAATTCTTTCTGGTGATGCAAAGGCCTTTCGCAGGTAGGGGTTAGGGTGTGCTCATAAAGATGTTTAACAAAACGATAAACAACATCAACAAACAATAACAACACACATAACAACAACAACCACAACAACACAACTACAAGAACAAACCAACAACAACAAAACAACAACAACAACAACAACAACAACAACAACAACAACAACAACAACAACAACAACAACAACAACAACAACAACAACAACAGCAGCAGCAGCAGCAGCAGCAGCAGAGCCTGACTGACTGACTGTGTGCAGCGCCAGCCGCAGAGCCTGCAGTGCTTTCCCCGCCTGCGCCCCGCGTGGCCGCCCCCTTTGCGGGCACGCAGGCCTGACCTCGGCCTGCCACCGCTCGGACGTCCATTCCCCGCGCACCCGTTTGGCATCGTGCGCGCTTCTTCTCAAGGCGATCCAGCTTTTCTGGCGCTGGCCTCGCCGGAATAAAAAAAAACGACAACAACAACAACAACAACAACCACAACCACAACCACAACCACAACCACAACCACAACCACAACCACAACAACAACAACAACAACAACAACAACAACAACAACAACAACAACAATTACTAGCACGTGGGGACACACCGTTCTCACCAGTGCAGGGTTTTCATAGGAGGCGGGCAATGCCCCCACTTTGTGGGGGGGCCGGTTCAAGCTCTACCAAATTTCCAAACGACTCTTCGCCACCACCCACACCCAGCTTCCCTCCCTATGACGTTCGGACACTTCACTTCGTGGCATGCGGACGACCGTGGCTACTATTCAGGGCCCCGCGGCCGACGACGACGGCGTGCGCGCGCGAAGAAAAAACGAATGTGTCCCGCATGGTATTATTTGACAGGGATGATGGCCCTGGCAGGTGCGCAACCGTTGTTGCAGAAGTTCGAAGAAGTTGCTCGCAAAAGCCCGTTTGACAGAAATGATTAAAAAGTGTTGGGTTTCCTACGAATCCGCAAGAGCGCGCGGGATGAAATTTTGACATTTTGTTTTTGAAAAACCATTGGTTTTTTGATGTTTTTATGTTAAAATCGCTGCGAACACTAAGGTTTTGGAAGGATTTCGTCTTGCGCGCGCGAATGTCCACTTTACCTTATGTTTTGCAAGGGATTCTTGAAGTTTGGCTATGTTAGAACAAGAAATGTCCACTTTAGCTTATTTTTTGCAAGGGAAAACCGATCGTAACAACACAACCGGATCTGGACCAACCCGTTTTGCCTGAGACTTCCTCACGAAAAATGATGAAAATGTGGCTGCGGCCTAGGCGCGGCGGGGGGGGCGTGCACCAGGGGGCCCAACAATTAAATTTTCTTTTTCCTATTTCTATGTTCTTCAAAACTACTACTACTATAGTACTATCTGTTCTTACTACTACTATACTACTACTTCTAATACTTATTTAATACTACTACTACTACCTACTTGTTCTAATTACTACAATACGTACTTACTATCTACTTACTACTACTAATACTACTACTACATACTACTTCTCTTACTTACTACCTACTACTACTAGGACTATTATGATTGTCCGTTTTAATTACTCTGCCCTACTACTACTACTACTACTACTACTACTACTACTACTACTACTACGACTACTACTACTACAACTAGAACTACAATTACTACTACTACTACTACTACTACTACTACTACTACTACTACTGCTACTTACTACTACTTACTACTACAGCAGCAACAACAACAGCAACAACAACAGCAACAGCAACAGCAACAGCAACAGCAACAACAACACCACCACCATCAACAGCAGCAACAACAATCACACAATCAGTGTAAGATTGTTCGCTCTTATCTGACCGCGAACCAGTCAACACGTATATTCCAAACCCTCGATACCCGCCCTCTTCGTCTTCGATCTGACCCCCCTTGGGAGGATATATCTTTCTTACCTGCAACGTGTCTTTCGTGCAGCCCCTAAGGCAGGGGAAGAGGGGACGGATGGAAGGAGAAGGGTGAGGGAGGAAGATGGAGCACGGGCTATTAGCAGAAACCACGTGGCAGAACCAGACAGGCAGATCGAGCGGGTAGACCCCCCTACCAGGCGGGTCGGGGAGGAAGGCCCAGGCGGCCAGGTCGAGCAAGCGGGTTGCTCAAGCGTGCGTCCTGCATGAAACGAGAAGAAGACTCGAGCGACAACTCGACTCCCAAATCAACCGTGAGGAAATCCACAGCGAGAGCGTGACTCCTGAATGTCGAGGGCGCGGCGCCTGAATAAATTGCGAGAAAGTTCCACGCGAGAGCGCGATCCCTGAATAATAAATTGTGGGGGAATTCCGCGCGAGAACGCAATTTTAGAATAAATTGTTGTGAAGAAATATCAAGCGGGAGCCGTTGCCGTTGTTGTTATTGTGGTTCGGGGGCCAGAAACGCAGTTTGAGCCGAGTGACTTCCCCTGAAAAACAAACAAACCAAAAAAGTGCGAGCCCCGGGGAAAGCACTTCAATTGAAAAAAAAAAAAAAAAAAATGCACACCGGAGGGGGGGTCGACTATAATAATTCTTCAATAATGAAATTTCAACAACAACGACAACAACAAAGCAAAGGCGGCAAGCGCCGACCGTCAGAGCCACCCCCCCGGACACAACCGCAACGACCCCCCCCCTCCCCCCGCAACACCCCCGCAACAACGCCGTCAAAGTCGATCTACTTCGTTCCTCCTTCCTCGCCCCGACGTATCCCTGCAACGGGACAGCATGTGCGCACCGGCGCATCGAGGAACCTCACGGATCTCTACTACTACTACCACTACTACTACTACTACTACTACTACTACTACTACTACTACTACTACTACTACTACTACTACTACTACTACAACTACTACTACTACTACTACTACTACTACTACTACTACTACT